AACAACTGTGGCAAGAAAGTCGTAAAATGAGGCCAAATGCACAACAAATGTCTCACTTAACATAAATTTTGGGCTCAATTGGCTTGTAAGTCGAGGACTACCTGCACTGCCTTAGCCATGAAAGCCATCTGGGTGACTCTCAACTTGCCTCACAGGATTGTTGTAGGGGAAATAGTAGGAGAAAGGCATGCCATGTCAGATATATTTGCCACTTTGCCATTTATAAAAATAATAATAGCCAAATATAAGTAAACACTTAGCCAGGAACTAAGTTAATTATGAAATATATTTTTCCATAACTAACACAAGTTCCTGGCTAAATGCAAGTCTAATATTCTATGTCCACACTTATTAATTTAAGCTAATGTAATTTAGCTTTTTACACATGTTGTGCATGAGGATTTTTCTTTTCATATGGTCTCTAGAATTAAACTTGTTATCCTCTCTCATTTTTGGAGACATCAGGGTAGTAAATAAGGTAATTTTATGCTAGCATATGATGGTGAATTCACTGATGGGGAGAAGGGATTGTTGGGGCAATATGTTGGAAAAGTATCTCTTTTTATATGACAAACGTTGAAGCAAGAGCATTTCACATAAAGTATGCATATACTTACACATTAACAACCCACGTAATGTTGCTCTTTTCCTTATATTGCTCTGCCCTCTTCTGGTGTAAAATAGCATTTGCTAATTTAACTGAGATTTCAAAATGAAAAAAAGTCCCTGCATTAAAATAGGCTGCTTAAATATCCAAAACTACGAAGCAATGGATCTCGAACAGAAAAACAAATGTTAATCATTACACTTAGACCACCTTTAGAAATTAAAAAAACCACCATATAAAATCCATTAAGTACACCTTGAAGACATGGTTAGACATTTGCTTAAATATACTTAATAAAACAAACTACTGTTGCGCTGTTATACATTCCGCAAATCCCTTAAACTAAAAGGGAGCCGAGGATCAGCCGGGTAAGCAGAGCATGCGCAATTCCCGGCCCAGGCTCTCGCTCTCCCCGCGTTCTTCTTGGCATGCGTGTGCCTGAAAGTTTCATTTCCGTAATTCGCGTAAGCCGTCTCCCAGGCGAGGGAACCCTTGGGCGTTTCGCGGCCCCTCTGACGTCGGCAGCGTAAACACCTATGAGAATAGCCGCCGTGCATTCCGGTTGGATAAACGGAGCGACCTTTGGATTTCGGCAAGTAATAAGCGGAAGTCGCTCGCGCTCGCCTTTTCCGCTGGCTGGCTGGATTCGCCGTCGGCCGCCGTTACAGCATGGCTACCTCAGGCTTCCGTCTTCTCTTTCGAGCCGCACCGTCTTCTTGCTGGCGGCTCCTGGAGGCTCCTTTCCGAGCCGGCAGTCGCTGGAACAACGCAGCCCGCCTTGGCTCTTGCCGGTCCTTCCAAACGGCGACGGGGCTCAGGTAGGAGCTTTGTCCTGTCTTCGCCAAATCAACCTTCCTGGCCTGAGTTGGAAGTGGGGGCGACGGGCACCTCTCAGCTCGCTCGCCTCTCCACTCGTTCCAAGGGAGTTAACCGCGCCAAGTGAGGGGAGAAATACCTGGGTGGTGGAAGAAAGGCGTAGAGCAGTACCTGGGCTAGGCTAGGTCAGCTCGGAGGTCATAGAATATGCCAGCCGTGACTTTGATCACGGTCACCGACCCACCAATACTCTTGTACCTGGGCTGCGACAACGGCTTTTTGTAATATGACCCTGGTGTTGTGTGAATGCCGCCCCTGACGTCAATTTATAGTTAAGTGTATTGTTCGAACCCCGAAGAACCTATAAACCAGATAAACCGTGGTTCTGTTAACCGTACAACTACTCTGTCAAACTGTACTGTCTAATCTGGAAGAGGATCTACCTATTTGTGACTTTGGCTTTACATAACATACTTTCACTTAGATTTGTTTGTTTATGACTTAGCAAACTCTATAAGCATATAATATGAAAGCCTACTAACTCTGATTGTCAGTCAGCTGCGATTAACTATGCCCTGGCCTAAAGTTTCATAGGTGAAGACTTTCACCTTAGGAAGTGCCAACTTTCACTTGTTATGTGAAAGTTGGATGACGTAAATAATTGTGTAAGACTGCTAGCCTTTATTTTTTGAAGTTAAAGGGGGAAATGAAGCAATCCATGGTTTGAGAGGTCCTTGATGCTCTCTGAGTTTGCTTNAATATTTCCAAGTCACTGATCTGCTAAATGTTCCCAGATTTGTTTGTTCTCAATTTCTTTTAAATCAATATGGACTTTTAAGCATAGGTGTAATTCTCTTCAGTTTAAAACAATAAGAACATTTTGTCTTTTGTTTATTATACATCATCATTTGCTAGACAGGTTTACAAGGTAATGCAACATATCAAAAAGTACCATTCATTTGTCATATAACTTTGGCTAGCCTGCTATTTAAAATAATATTTATCTACTCTCTCTAATCTAATCTCATAAATCAATATAACAGATTTACAATTGCGGAAATAGTAGGTAATATAAATTGTCTTGTATGTTTCATAGGACTTTAAAATTACGGTCATATAAACACAATCTAAAGTCAATAAATGCTTGGGAAATGTAGCAGATAAGGAAATAAGTGGCACAACTGCAGCAGCAATTTCATTCGCTATATGAACTAACATTGGCTATGAAATGTAAAACATGCTCTAAAGTTAAGATGTGCAGATAGGATGACTGATGCAAAAGAGAGCAAAGTTTTGTCCCTTTTCCTGTAAAACAGATGATTTTAATAGCTTGTTGTGAGCGTAAAACAATCCTACCTTGATTTCTGGATTCCTCAAAATATACACCAAAATAAGCAGATGATTAGTTTCTGTAGATATGTCAGAACAGCTCATGCTGTTTCAGAAATATAGTGATCAATATTTTCTAGCTCATAATGCTGAGTTTCTGGCATACATCATTTCCAGTGTCTAACCAATTACTTTCTTCAGAAAAAAAATTCTTTGGTGATTTCTCTCATTCGGTATAGGGATTTCAAATTAGGGGAATTCTGAAGAGGAGGGGTGAGAATTGACAAAAAGATGCCAATTTATTAGTTTTGAGGGGAGGGGGAAATTTCATCTGTCCTTAGGCCAACATGTCTTGACCTTTATTGGAAGCTTCTGGATGAAACATTCATTTTACTATAATTATGCCTGATTCAAAGAATTGTATAGTGGGCACTCAAAAACACTTTCCATTTCTAACACTCTTGTCCGTGTTTTTTTTTCCACAGGATGCACAGAAGTGGGAAAAATTGCCACAAGAAGATAGACATAGAGAAGGCTTTTGGATTGATAGAAGTCATCTATCTGGAAGCATTCCTAGTGCAGGTTCACTGGATGTTGTAGTTGCTCACATGCAAACCATTTGACCAATAGGCACTGGTGTTAATTTTTCCAACAAATAAAATCTCAAAAATTAACATAATGAGGCCTTTGCAGGTCAGGAGTTGGATTCAAGTGTTAACCTAAATCACCGTTTTTATGAAACTTGGCTTTTACTCAGTCATGGAATTAACTGTGGTTTACAAGTCACTCTGGTTAAGTTCAAATGTTATACTAAGTGCAAACTAAAGAGACGGCATTATGTCTTAGACTTAGCACAATGTTTCTACTAGCTTTAGCAACCTGGAGAATTGTACAGCTGCTAGCGCTAATATATTTAGTGAGGGCAAGATTGGGAAAGATTGGCTTACCCATTTTTTAAATTGTTGCTGTTGTTGGCTTAATGCAATATATGGATATATACACACACAAAGCCATTAATTTTAAGACACTTTGTATTATTTGTTTCTGTTTCTATTCTATTTGTTCTGTTACATGGATAGCTCACAGCCAGTTTTGGCTCCACTTCCATCAATAATTAGATTGATCTATTTTCACTTTCTCTTGCCTTTCTTCATTTGTTTGCCTGCTTAAATATCTTGGTTGAGGATGCCCACGTTTGTCTAGTCAGGCGTTCTTCAATAAAATGTAGTTCACTTTCTCTCAGCAGCAGACCGAAGGAAAATGAAGGGTTCATTAGCTAACAATAACATCTCAGAAGATAGCAAATGGTGGACACTTGGCAACTGGTTCTAAGTGCAAACAGGTTGGCAAGTATCTACCCCATGATTATGTGAAGCGAGGAGGGTCAGTGCAATGTTTTACAATAGGAAGTGCTTTACAGACCATAATAAACGCTACCTGTATCTCCAAATAGTAGTTGTTGAAGAATGGTGGCCTTGTTTTATGTTTGTGGATTTTCCTTTGGTAGTTGATTGTGAAGTAAACTACCTTAAACTGAGATTTTGAACAGATTCTGCAAGACATTTCTCAGTTAGAGATGAATTTATTCAACTAGGGAATGTATTTAATGTTTTAATGCTACCACAAAATAAATTTTACCTGAGATCCTGCTTCCAAGTAAATGCCAGTTGGAGAATAGTCAGTCACAAAAAATTTTTCCAGAAATTTTAGCTCTTTCCTAGCTATCCGCCTTATTAGCCTTTGAGATATTATCACCCCAGTCTATCTTTGTGGAAGACAGAGCAAACAAGTTAAGATGCAATCTAAAATATCCTAAAAATAATTTATAATTTGATAGTCACCCATGAAGGTATCTTAGGCATATTGATGTTCATAAGCATCCCATTTTTAAACATGATCTGCCTGCCGCCGCCCCCGCCCCCCCAAATGTCCTTGGCTGAGTAAAATTGTGTGAAAATGTGGCACTAAAAGCTTTGCTTAGCCAAGCCCATAACTTGATTCCAAATCTGCAAAGCAAAATGCAATGGTTTTGTCAGCTAGCCAGAGAAAAAGCTTTTGTAATCATGTTATATACATAATAGAGATTGTTGCAAAATAATGAACTGATAAATAGACCTTCCATGTACAAATAAAGTTAAGATATGTTAGCTAAACATACCAGCCTACTACTCATTAGTTCTTGACTTTTATTATTTGAATATGTATCAAGAATTTTATTACACCAAGTCAATAGGAAAACTGCAGATAGAAGCAAGACGCACAATTGCTCTAATCTAGTGTGTAGGCTCACCCTAAATTGCATAGATTATGACAAATGCATTTGAATCTCCAAGCAATCTCTTTAGATATCTCTATTTGAAAAGGAGTTCTTGCACTGCTTCTGGGCTGAGGTCTTCCACCTCACTCAATTTAGACAAGATTCCTCTTCCAAAGTAAAAGAAGACTTGCATATAAATTATGTATATAGACGCAAATTGGAAATTCTTGCCATAATTCAGTAATGAATTTTACTGAACTCCACCTCGAAGTAGCCCAGTTGGCATGATTTATTGCGGGGGATAATGGGTACTTGCGTCAGAATGGGAAAGATTGTTTCCAGATAACCTGTTCAGTTTGTTTCCCAAATTTGGTTGAGCAAGTACTCTTTGTCTTTGAAACAGACTTGGACCGAATTGCTTTTTGAGCANCTATACCACATGACCACAGAAGCGGCTTGCTTCCTCGGCTAGGAAAAGGAAATAAGCACGTCCCCTAGAGCCAAACACAACTGTGGATCAGTGGAGACCTAAAATTCAAAACTCTTCATCTTTTTAATGCTGGATTGAAATAACTGAATCTAGTAAAACCAAGTAAGGCAAAGAAAGTCAATTAGAAACTAGAGAAACATTTCTCTCTCCAATATTCTTGTTAGCAAATCTTCTAGACTTCTCCCTGGCTCCTAATATAGTGAATGACAGGAAACTGAGTACAGCTTTGGCAGAATTGACCACAGGGATGCAACACAGTTTAACTGAAACATTTCAAATTCAAAAACGTAAAAATGTTTCCATGTTCAAAATAGGTTGCCCCAAACATACTGATGTTATTCACCATTCCATAAAAGTTCTAAGTTCAAATTTCCTTTTTTGAATGCAAAACGTGGCTCTTTCAGGTAAGAAACACTTTCAGAATGGTTTAAAAAATATCAGAATACTTTTAGTAAGAGGAAAAGAATTTTCTCAGATTTTTAAAATGTTTCCTTCAAGTTTGAAATGAGAGCATGGTAAACACAGAATGTTTGAACTCTGAAACATTTGTTAATATGTTAATGTACTTGTCCCCATTTACTAGTCAAGGTATACGAGGGAAATATTTTAGCTCCCTTTTCTTTTTCTTTAACCAGTTATGATTTTACCAGCAGCATGGAAAAAAGGAGTATCTAAACAATATCTAGATCTTCCATGAAAACACAGATAAAATTGTTTGATGTAGATACTGTATATCCCAACTCCTTTCTTGTATAGAAACTTCAGTGCTAGAAATCTGGTAACTTCACTCCTTGGATATTTACTCAGAAGTAATATGCAATATGCTTCCTAATAGAGCTATCTAGAATTGCTGCCTTTACTAGATGTAATAGTGAATAGTTCCAAATAAGCACATAAAGGATTAATAATCAGGAGCTCTTCTTTTAGGAGCAAAACCTGCTATGTCTCAGAGCACTTATTCCACCTAACCTTGCCTTATAGATTCATATTTAGCCCATTTCTTCTAACTTCAGGTGCCACCCCAACCCATATCTTATCCATGGCCAACAACACTGTGGTGGTGGTGGTGTTGTCCAGAAACAGAGTGGTCAATGCCTGGAATGCACTACCCAACTCTGTTGTTACATCTCCAAATCCCCATAACTTTAACCTTAAACTGTCTACTATTGACTCAACCCCATTTCTAAGAAGTCTGTAAGGGGCATACATAAGCGCAGCATCCGTCCCTGTCCTACTGTCCCCATTTATTCGTACCCATTTCATTCACATTTCATGTTTAGTCTTACACCTCTTATCTTATAAACGATTGACAAATCAAATAAATAAATGAAAATAAAATAAAGGGAAACTTACGATTTGAATATCCGTACTTTATTTTAGTTATGGATAAGTGAAGCAAAATCTGCAGCTCACATCCACCTTTTTTTTTTAACCTGAGGGGCTAAAGGGAAAATGCGGGGAAGGGGAAGTGGGGGCGGGGGGTGGCGGAAATCCGGCGAAAAGAAGCTCTGGAATATGCTTCGCTGTCAGGTAAAGAGGAGGAGAAATCGCGGTGGGCAAAGGAAAAAGCAACGCTTCGCTGTCCTTCATAAATCGCCGGAGACAGCGAGCACCGCTTTTTACACATCCCACTGCGACCTGCATGGCGGGAAGCCGCCTGCCCCAGAGCGGATTGGAGACCTCAGCTCCCCACGAGCAAGCTGGCGTTGAGGACAGCCCTCCGTCCGCCACTTCTGGAGAGCGCCAGGTTCCAAGGCTTTTAGGGATACCGGCGGCAGAGAAACGTAGGGACAAGGCGAAGAGCGGCCTAGTGGTCGCCACGATAAAAAAAAACAAAAACAAAACGAGCGCCTAACTTCTCTCCCCACCCCGACTCGCCTCCTCACCTGCCGAACTGAGGCGCCGGGAGCGGCCAGCTCTCGTCGGATGCTTTGCTTCCGAAGGTCTCGACAACTGACTTGGAGTCGACCTAAAGGGGGGGGACAACAAGCGGACGGGACACGTCGGTTACACAGCTTGGCTGGCAGCGTTGATGAGACTCTCCGAGGGCCGCGGCGGCGAGCTGTCGTTTCCCTCAGGGGGGCTCGCTAGATTTGCGGCAGCGCCGCGTCCGCTGACAGATCCGCAATATGGCGGCACCCTTTGAGATTTTTTTTTCTCCCTATCACAGCGGTTGGCGCCTCCGTCCCGCTACGGAGCATGCGCGGACAGAGAGGGAAGCATGCGTGCTTCGGCGGGATGAAGCTGCGGCTCCGAAGTATCTCTATGTAAACGAGAATTGGAAAGTTGGGGGAGGGAAAAGAGAGAGACGAGGCGGCGGGGTCGAGCGGCTTCAGAATCAAATGCGGGGTCACGTGGTCGGTTGTGTCGGTAACGGTCTCTTTTTTGAATAAGCAGGGGATGCGATGAGCTCCAAGTTCCCCCTCCCTTTTGAGACTTTATTTTGGGCTGGACGACAACAAGGCGTAGGTTCCGTTCGTTTTAGAGCGAGTTTTAAGGAAAAGAAGTTTAAAAGTCTCCCTTAACAGAGCCTTGGTTGTCTACGCTTTTGCACGAAATCTTATGCCATCTTTTTATGTATCTTATAGTTTCTAATGAATGAGGTCAAATGAAAATGAAATGCAGAACGATGCAGGCAGTGAAAAGTACTATATCCTATTAACGGCCATTAGCGAAACAAACCGCTGCAGCAGGAACAAATATATTTTCATTGGTACGAAAACTAACATGGAGCAGTAATTATGGAGCGAGAGGAAAGACTAGTTTCTCACTCGTGGGTTGAGTTGNCCATCCTTTTGAGGTTGGTAAAATGAGAAGTCAGATTGTTGGGGTCAATATGCTGACTTGTAAACTACTTAGTGATTTAAAGCACTATGAAGCAGTGTATAAATCAAGTGCTATTGCTCAGTGCTCTATATACACAAACACACACACAAACACACTGCATAGGAATAATAAGGAATAAATGCAGTTTTATCTTTAATCAATGTTTCGCAGCATCCTCTCTTAAGAATGAATGTACAAGGAAGGCTAATTCTGATTGGGAAACTAGTCCTGCAAGTACACAGACATGAAGTCTTTACAGGGCTTTAAGATTAAAAACCAGCACCTTAAAATGGCCCTTTATACTGTAATCAAAAAGACTCTTAAGCAGCTTACATAGAATTTAATAGAGGAATTCAAACATTCATAGCAGTATATAAAATCGCATAAGAATTTAACAAACGACAGCAAGAACAACAACAGCAAACAGTACCAGACCAAAATTAGAGTTGGGGGCAGGGACAAAAAAATAAATAAAGACAGTATCATAAAATCATGGGAAGGTTCTCTGAAACAATTTCATCTTTCAACTATTTTTATCAAGACGATGTTTTGAAAGTAGTTGAAGACAAAGTTGTTTCAGAAAGCCTTTCCCTGATTGTATGGTGCTGTCTTTATTTCCCCTCCTCTGCCCTAATTCCTCTTATGTGAGATTTGTGTATTGGAGTTATGGGTTTTGAAGTTGAGTTTATTGTTATTGGTATCTTAAGTCTGAGGACAATTCCAAGATAGTATTTGTTGGGAGATTTTATTTTGTTTCTATGGAATGTCATTGAGAGTATAAGACAGGAAGCCATATAAGTTTTCTAAATAAATATATTTAGTCTCCGTAATACACCAATATTTGGTGTATTGAAAAACAATGTTGCAAAAAAAATGGATTAAAAAAGAACAATAAAGTACTGATTTTTTTTTCCCAGCTCGGAAGAAAAAGTTACAGTGCACTTTGTAAATCGTGACGGTGATAAATTAACAGCCAAAGGAAAGGTTGGAGATTCCCTTCTAGATGTTGTGATAGATAATAATCTAGACATAGATGGATTTGGTAAGTAAATATATTTCCTTTCCTATAAGAAAATTAAGTTTAATTTTTTTAAAAAAAGAATTGAAACTCTGTGACTTTTGATTCAAAGTTAACAGCTTCTAAGCAAAAGCACTAGTAAAATGTTTTTGTTTTTTTTGCTAAAATTAGGAAAAAGAATAATATTGTTGGTTTGTGTAACTCTTCCACAGCTGTGTGTTTGTTCTGATATCAGTGACAATTAGTGAATTGTTTATTCTTCTACAGGTACTCCTCAATTTACAACCACAACTGAGCCTGCAATATTGGTTTTAAGTTGTTGCAGTCTTTAAGCAAGATACCCGCATGAGCACCTTGCTCAACAACCACAACACCAGCTCTCCCCTTTGTAGTGGTTAAGTGTATGGAGTGAAAGAGCTCCCTGCCAAAGGTGGGGCAGGCAGCTCCCGTCTGTGTGCAGAACTGCTGCATGTGGCCAGATGGATTTTAACCACATGAAGCAAAATCAGGCTGGCTCCAAAGACCCCTACTGTAAAGCACCCTGTGCCCAAATCCCACTTGGCTGTCCCCAGAGACTTTTTCAGCCAGCATCTTTGAGAGCAACCAAAATGCTTAGTGGGAGACTCTGCCCCACTCGGGATAAAATCAATCTGGCAGGCAGGTCTTTTGCCCCCAAATTGATGGTTGAAAAAGTTCCATGCCCAAAACAGACATTTTCCCATTGACTATCTGGAAAAACTGAAAGGTAAGATTGCAAATAATGATCATGGAAGCTTGGCAAACTGTCATAATTGCAAATGGACTGCTAAAAGGTCACAGTGCAAGTCACATAACTGCAGAGGTGCTGCAATAGCAGTAACTTCGGGCATCAGTTCTTAGTCTCTTTGTTCAGCTTCGTCATAATTTTGAATGGTCATTGAATGAATGATAATTGAGCTGGATTTATACATTGTGTTAAACCATATTATCATAATTTTCAGACAGGACATGGGAGAACATTTTAAAATAATTGTTAACACATCAGCAAACATTTACAGATGTAATCATAGGGATTCCACAGGTAACCCTAAGCCAAAAACAAACAAACTGGGTTATGACTTAAATAAAATATGTCACTCACATATAGTTAGGGATTTTTCTCTTTATATTGTTATCTTTGCTATACTGTTTAACCTGCTGTCTTCTTTGGCCTCAGATATGTGACTCTTCTGGTTTTGCTTTCTTTGAAGCCAAAGAATTATGTAATGCATTGCACTGAACCAAGTATCACTTTCTGAAATGTGTTTATTCAAAAATATTTTAATACCGCCTTTTTGAGTTATGGAAGTTTGCAACGTATAGGCAGTACAACAGCAAACTTTTAAAAAGGTAGATAAATTATGATTAACAGAACTAAAAATGGCAGGATTAAGGGATAGCCAACTTAGTATTTCCCAGAAAGCAAAAAATTAGCCTCAAAGATTAATTTGCATATGTTAACACAGTGGAATGATATGGCATCTTGAAACAGACCTCATATTTTTTAATATTCCAGATATAGAAAATAAAATTGAAAAGTCTAGTATTGTCCATATTTAAAATTCTTAGTCCTCTAAAAAAAAGATCAATTACATTGGTAATGCCCAGAAAAGCAAATGTGGTCTGTTTCCGCTTTTTTATGTCACTAGGGGGCATAGCAGGCATACAAACAATATGTTGACATTTAAGCTTTAAATATTTGCCTGCTTGATGAAATCCTTCTCATGTTTAAGCATAATTCTTGTTCAATTAAAAGATGCTATTGCTGTTACAACACTATTGCTCAAGTTTCATTTTTTTATTTTGATTTTATAGCTGTAGTTTATCTGTATAGGCATAGATATATCTCCTGCCTACATTATCCTGATCGGTCATTACTAATTGAGGATGCCTATGATGCTGCGTACTATATCTTTAAACTATATGGTACAAATATTGTAACTGCCTTCTTCAACCTTATGTTCTCAGATATTTAAGTACTTTAATTCAGATGTGTTGAATTAAAATTGTCCTGATTTGTGTTGCAACTTTCATAGCACTTTAAGCTTATTTCATACATTGTTTGCCATAATGGCTGTGAAATGTTAATTGTCAGGAAGAGATCGCATCAGTCCTTCCATTCACTCTCCCCACTTTATATACTGCCAGATTTCTGTATGGAGGTGATTATCTCGCATTAATGTATGGGATTATGTTGTTGATGTTGAATGATGAACACAAAGTGATGTTGAAAGGTAATGAATTATATGTGTACCTAATTTAACTTTAGGTGCATGTGAAGGAACACTTGCCTGCTCTACATGTCACTTAATCTTTGAAGACCACATATTTGAAAAATTAGATGCCATCACAGATGAAGAAATGGATATGCTGGACCTTGCTTATGGCTTGACAGAAAGGTAAGGTGAAATCAACATAAAATTGTTGAGAATATCTTCACTGTTTTTATTCAATTGACCGTGTGCTGCTTAGATCAAGGACAAACAGTGTCTTATCTGCCCATGGAAATTACTCTTGACAGACATCATGCTCGTTTTTCCACCTGCTCTTCAATGTTTTTTCTAGATTTTAAAAGAGATTTATTTATTTATACATCAGATTTGGAGACCACCTACCTCAGTCGCAAAGTGATTCTGGATGGTATAAAAACATAAATTCAGTATCGTTTTATTTATTAAAATATTCCTGCACTGCATATAGGTTTATGAGCATTCTTAGAGAATGGTGTACAGCTGCAGTCCGAAGTTCTGTTTAAATGTGCTCCCTGTTTAGAAAACTGAGATGCCCTGAGATAATAGGGAGCGGAGGGGGAAGTGCTGTAGAATGTGGTATGAATTAACTTCATTAACACTTTGTGACTGAACATACTGTACCTATCATTAATGGACATTTTGCTAGAATATTTACTACCACTTTCAAAATTCAAATTTTCAAATGTGCCCAGTAGTTAGTGTGTTTGTTATCCTTGCTGATGTTACTATCTACTTTTTATCTGCAAAGTATTATCAGTTATCAAATCAGAAGAGGATTGAACATGGTTTGTCTAATGGTGGTTTACGAGTTTAATCCAAACCTATTCACAAAGTTGACTTATGTTATCCATACCTAGGCTCTGAACCTTGGCCTTTAAAAGCAGAAATGTTTCTTGTCCAATGTTGGTATATCTCCATTTTCTTTATCTTTCCAAGCTTTGCTTAGTGTCTTCTCAAAATTAATATCTAAAACAATGTTGGATTTTCACAGAACAAAGAAATTCATTTATTTAAATTAGTCTTCCATGAAATTTGCATAAGTTTTGTAAACTTTTTTTTGCCATATTCTTATGTAACCTGAAAGAAAATATTTCTCTATTACAAACCCTTGGTTCTTATGTCAAACTGTTAAAGGAATGAAGAGTTAATTATAATATATGTTAGTGATGGCTAACCTTTTCTGGTCCAAGTGCCCAAAGTGTGCATCCGTGCGTGCCCCAAACCCCAAAATGCAATGTGTGTGCCCCCTGCGCATACATGCATGACCCCCACCCCCTGCGCATGTGTGTGTGTGTGACCCGCCCTGTGTGCACCACCCTCCCCCCCCCACACATGCCCTGTGCATGCACAGCAGAAACCTGAAAACCAGTTGGTTGGCAGGAGGCACCTGCACGGTGGAGCTGAACTGGGGCGATAGCACCTCTGGCATACATGCCATAGGTTCGCCATCACATATATATGTGATATACAGATATACAGATTGGTTATAGGAAATTTAAAATTACCCTTTCTCCCCTAGCTAGAAAATACGCAAAGAAGTGAATTTGCAAAGCAAACCAAACAATCTCAATTAGTCTTCCCCTGTCAAGGCCTTTTCCAGATATAGATGCTACAGCTCCCAGTCAATGTGATTACTCTTGGGATTTTGGGTTTTTAAGTCAATACAGCTGTGCCAAATTGGGAAAGGCTGGCTTAAGGCTAAATATATATAATCCATAGTCTCTTCAGTTTTTTGTCCTTGCATATAACATTGAATAGACTTTAGCTTCTATCCTCCATCAATATATTTTGTGCTTGTAATTTTGTACTGGTAGTCCTCCATTTACAACCATAACTAAGCCCAAAATTTCTGTTGCTGAGCAAGACAGTCGTTACTTGTGTTCTTCCCCATGGCACAGTTGTTAAGTGAAATCACTGCACTTGTTAAATTAGTAGCATAGTTTTTAAATCTGGCTTCCCCATTGACTTTGCTTGTCAGGTTGCAAAAGTTGATCACGTGATCTGGGACACTGCGACCATCATAAATGTGAGACAGTTGCCAAATCTGAATTTTGATCACGTGACCATGGGGTGCTACAACATAAGTGTGAAAAACAAATATCAGTCACATTTTTCGGTGCCATTGAAACTTCAAACATTGTAATATTACAGTAGTATAATGTTATAATATTGACATTCTTACAATGTGTTTTTTCCCTTCTATAGATCACGTTTGGGCTGTCAAATTTGCTTGAAGAAATATATGAACAATATGACTGTCCGAGTGCCTGAAGCTGTTGCTGATGCCCGACAGCATATAGATATGAGCAAGAACCCATAAAATAATGTTTTCAGATGTATTTCATGATATTAAAAATATTTTACTACTTATTCCTAAAGAAAGTGAAATACTCATCCTTTGATTATCTATGTTAAGGTATGATTTTATTAAAATTACAGTTGGCCTTATTTTGAAAGGATAAAACAAGGTATTTAGAAGAGACCTGTGGAGTGATAGAAACATGATAAAATACAGTTAAAGAGCAGGAAATCACTCCTTTTATTTTCATTTAATAATGCATCAGTATTCCTGCTGCACTCATGTTTTCCCAAAGTAATAATTACATGCTGGATTTGCGGTAGCTGAGAATAAAAGTCACTTTTTAAATTACAGGTTTCACATTGAACTACTGAAAATACATTTACCAGAGAGTAAATCACTAGTGATATTATTCGCTATTAGCTGATCAATTTTGGTGCAAATTAACTGTAAGATTGTGTAATTGTACAAAATCCTACTGAATCTTCTAGGAATTGCATATTCATAGTTGTATGCCATGTCGGAAGCATTTCCAAAGGTTTTTTAAAATCAGAAATACTGCATAAATACCATGTTATTTTAAAGATGTTGCATGGGCAAAGATGCATTTCTGGTTTTGTGGTATGCTTCATTTCATGAACAGGTGTCTTATACCCAGAATGATAGAAATATTCTCCCTATTGGAGAGAAAAAAAAGGAGCCGTGTATTCCATTGTGATGGGCTTTAAATCAAATGTTCAACTTCTAATCCACTTCCTCTTCTATCCACAGATTAAAACTGGTAGCAAAATAGACAGTACAATTAAAATTTTGAAATAAAATTCCCCAGCCAGATGGTTGGAGACCTCTGTTCTAGTACACATAGCAACATTCAGGTGGGCTTCTCTGGTGAGAGAACATCAGAAACTGAGAAGGGGCTTTTTTCAGTTATCACCCATCTCATCTGTCAGACACCTGAATGAGGGGCTCAGATTACCTCAGAATGTAGACAACTGGGAGATGCAACAGGCATTCATTCCTTAGGATACCCTGGTCCAAAGCGATGTCGGAAATTTCTTACATAGAAATACCAAAGCCATGGTATTTCTTACATAGAACTTTTGAGTCTCTTCCATCCTTTGAAGTTTTTCATATATGCTGAAGCATGGGCCTTCAGACTACATGGAGTATTAATTTGTAGTATTTAGTATGTTATATAAAAGAATATGATTAAGTTATTTCCAGTATGCACTAAGCCATTGAAAATTAAATGAGCTAATGAAAAAATATACACTGTCATGTTCTTATCAGTCTATAAGAGCTAAATAGTCAATGAGTCCATTGGAAATAGAAGAAAAGGAGGGAGGAAAGAAAGAAGGGAGGAAGGGAGGTATGATTTCAGTCCTCTGTTCCTGTTCCATTTTTAAAATAGAGAATAAATGAATACATTGTGTAAATGTCTTAGATTTTGTTGAAAAAAAATCTTCATGGACACTGGATATTTTGATTTATCTTCATCAACCATTGAAAACAACAGTGCCGTGAAACGACAAATGCAAACAAACTTCACTGTCAAGGTGATCTGTGCTTTCTTTTAAAAAATGTTTCTTGAAATAGCTGGTATGAAAAACTAGGTAGAGTCAACACTTAGTATCAGTTTTGTACCTATCTTATAAATATAGATTATTTAAACTGCTGATGCAGTACTTAGCATTTTTCAGAATCTGAAAATAAAGCTTGTATCTAGTTTTCTCCTTCTTTGTGAGCAGATGTCTTTCATTTTCTGAATATTAACAATTGTCAGGAAATCATCTTTGACTGGAAGAAAGAGTTTTTCTTGAAACAAATATAACTGGTTAAAGCAACAGATGTCTTCCTAGCCTTCAGGCTTTTATTTTCCCCATAATAATATTCATGGGAGATCGGTTGGGTTGGAAAAGAATAGTTGGTCCAGAATAACCTGGAGAGCTTTCAGGACTAACAGCTGGTCGAGCCTTAGTCTTAGTCTCCTAGATTTGAAATAAATGTATTTTGGTGCATAATATTTGAACAATATAATATAAACAGTTTATAATAACCCTTTCCCACACAATAAAGTCATATTATGTTCGTCCTTGCTACGCTGGTATAGCAAAAAAAAACAAAACTCTGTACTGAGTATAACTGGCAGAGGAAGACCATCACTCATTAACTTTTTCTGTGAATGTGCTTTGATTTTTCAGTTGTGAAGTTTTTGCAAAATAGATTTGAGAGCACCATTGTGTCTTCTACCCCAGCTTAGTACATCTGGCTTTAATAGAAAAGCCAAAGCTGCATTCCTGGACTGTTGGCCATGCTTTATGTTTCTTTTATCAACTGTAGATTTAAAGTGGAAGAAAAAATCACTCATAGATTCAAAAGTCCATAGGACAGCTTAGAACTTTTTCCATTACTGATAATTTTACCCGCATGAGGTGGGAGATAGAAATGATTAACATTTCAATTCTAATGCCTGCTTGCTCTGTGTATTGTGACAATAGTTTAGATCTTAAAGAGTTACTCCCATCAATTTTTTTAGATTCTGGCTGTTGCCAAAGTCCACTGCATCTAATTCTGGGAACAGTAGGAGACCATATCTGGATAGACTGTCATTTGGAGAAATGCCATTTGAAAATAGGAAGAAGCGTTTGTTTTAAAATCTAATTTAAAAAAAATAATACTGTTTTTTATTTTTTTTTAAAAAAAATCTATCAGCTAAATTTGCACCACATTGTATATATCTGTTTTGGTGGATTCTCATATTTTTAAATTAATGTTGCTTCCTGTTTTGACAATTGTCTTTTGAATTAGTTTGTAATAAGTGCATAATTTGAAGGATCACAGATTCATTTTGGAAAAACAAAGTATTAGCTTGAGCAGGTTTAAGTGCCAGCTGATACACATTTTGATGTGTATCAGCTGTTAAATTTGGCTGACAGCAAGTTCAGGATGTTACTCTTGGTCAATTTTGCAGGGATTATACAACTTCTTTTATTAGACAGATTTAAGGATTTATCTTCTGCTCTGGTTTATACTGAAAACAGTCAACGGAAATTAATATATGAATAAAATACGATTAAAGTTAAATATTAAAATCATCTAAGGAAAGATTAGTGAGATTTACCAAATGTGTCTCTAAAGGGAATGCATATACCGAAACAGCAGAGAAGTTGGTTCTCCCTTGTATGCCAGAAAAATTGGTCTTTGACAATGGGGTCAAATTCAAAAGGCCCACTTCTGTAGACCTTAACAATTGGATAGGCTGTAATAAATTTGATCTTTTCAGAACAGTTCTGTGATCCCATTAGGTTAACAACAACACTTGGTTAAATACAATTGGTTGATTGGATTGTGAAAACATAGTCATCATCAATGAACCCATTCTCTGAGTACCTTCCTAGCTGGCACTCTGAAGAGCATGCCACAAACTGCAATATTTTGTTGCAATTTTCACTAATTGCAACCAAGGGGAAAACTTGCTTTTAGGAGGGAAGTTTCTTTTTTTAAAAGAATGAAATATCTCTTGTTTGTTAAAGCATGTTTTTAAAAAAGATTTTTTTTTCATCTCAGGAATTTTAGATCTTAAAAGATTATCGTGTGCTGGGAAAGAGAAAAAGTTACTTTATGTTCTCAGAATGCAGCAATTTTCATTTTGTTTCTCGCTGGCTTATCTCTTGCAGAGGAAAAGCTCATCTGGGAATTTCTGTTTGAAAGGACTGCATGAAGCTAACTATCTTGTGTTCTCTTGAAACCTGGGGTATTGATAAGGAAATTTCATCAGGTCAAATTGGTTTGTGTACCAAGAATGACAAGATTATTAATAATAAAAGTATATAACTTCTAGAACAATTGCTTAGCGATAGCTCCATGCTATATAGGATCTATTGAACTTTGCCACAGTTTGCCAAAACACTGAAATAATCTAAATTTTCATTTTAGATGTTTCTAACTACAATTCTTATTATCCTGCAAGGAATGAGGACAATAACAGCTAAAATACATACAGCATATTAGACTGGGAAAATTGTTATACTTAGTACTGAGATACTCTTTTCTCAATTTTCTTCTGCCTTTTTTTTTTTTTTGGCAAATTGGACATAAATCCTCCAAAAGGGAGTAGATTTTTTCTTTCTTTCCAGCTGCCTTCTAGGTTGAGTACAGTTCTCTTGTGTTTAAAATTTCTCCAAAATCCTGCACTGTTCCTGCAAAATAAGATATATTAATATGTATCACCAATATTTATTTTTATATATACAGTACTGTAAAACTCACTACAGAAGAGCCTAATGCTGGGAAAGATTGAGGGCAAAAGAAGAAAGGGACGACAAAGAATGATGTGGCTGGATGGAGTCACTGAAGCAGTCGGCGTGACCTTAAATGGACTCCAGAGGATGGTAGAGGACAGGAAGGCCTGGAGGAACATCCATGGGGTTGCAATGGTTGGACATGACTTCGCAACTAACAACCTGTAAAATGGAAGGGATGATAACATAAATACCTTCTGGTCTATCCCTTTTTGAAAGAGTTCCCCAGGAAATGGTAGCTATGATTCTTGACATCCTGGTCTATCCAGTTGAAAAGTTCTTAACCCTCTTACCCAGATTATATCCCTTCAGCCCAATTCAAGGAAAATAAAAAGGGAGATAATTTGAATCTTTCTGTCTAACCCCCCAAATACAGAAACTATTGTGCCTGTCCTGAAACTCAAAACTATGGAACTCTGTAGTTTGGGGAAGTTTTAATGAAAATTTCCCTTCTAAAATTAATAAAGCCAGTTTTATAGATAAAAAGAAAGGGTTTATTGGGAGGTTTCCTGCTCTGGGTCATGGAAGTGACTTATGCAGCTTTTTATACTTCATGGGGTATTTAATAACCTGAGGGTTTGTTTTCAGGGTGTCCGTGAACTGCGATGTATATAAAATTACAACTTTATTTTCACTAACCTTTAGCTACAATTTAGCTGCAATTTAGTTTTTCATTCAATAATAACATAGGCAACAAAGTAATTGATGGCCTCCAGTCTGCAAAAATAGGATTTAATTACAATACTATGTAAAAGGGTTACACCCTTTATACCTTTATAAAGTGGGAACAGAATACATTTTATTGTGCGCAGTACTCCTTTCTCCAAAACTATGTAAATAATAATGATCAATACAATTGTTAGTTCAAAGGTTCTTTTGTGCCTAAATATCCATACATGCCAGTAATATTTGATAATAGTATTTGAGCATAATAGGTTTCTTTTGTTACACAATTTATGCATTTTATGCATTTGAATAATTTCCTCTGAGAAGATGTCCATGGGTTTCATTAGATTGTGAAGGGGAATCAGTCTCCCCAAAAGGTAAGAACCCCTTCTTTGAGTCTTTTTACTCCTGGTAAAGCTCTCCCAGAGAGACAAAATCAAGTTAGTCAGAATACACTACTAATCCTTATGGAAGATGGTAAAGATAGCCCATTAGTTGATCCTGATTTCTGGTGACAGTTGTGAGAAGAATTAAAAAGTGGGAGATTTCAACCTTTCATTCCTAAAGATTCCTCTCCCCCCCCCC